AGAGAGAGAGAGAGAGAGAGAGAGAGAGAGAGAGAGAGAGAGAGAGAATGAATATGAATGAGAATAAAATATTCCAAAACCCACTGTCTTTGTTAAGAGTTTCTATTGTTGTGATGAAGTACCATGACTAAAAGCAACTTGGAGAGGAAAGGATTTATTTGGCTTATACTTTCACATCACAGTCCATCATCATGAAAGGAAGTCAGGGGAGAAATAGTGGTGAGGCAGGAACTGTTGCAAGAAGCCATGGAGAAGTGCTGCTAACTGGCTTGTTCAGAATGTTCCTGCTTTCTTATATATAGCACCCCTAAGACCAGCAGCCCAGAGGTGCCACCACCCACAATGAACCAGACCCTGCCTGAATCATCATGATTCTTGATCAAGCATCATTCAAGAAAATGAACCATAGGTTATAGCCTATAGACCAATCTGAGGGGGGCATTTTTTTTTTCAATTGAGATTTCTTCCAAATGACTGTAGCTTGTGACAAGTTCACAAAACACTAGTCAACACACCTACAATACTTTCTGTCCTGAGGAATTTTGATTTGGGATCCCCAGTCTATAATAGTGACTCTAAACAGTATCTTTTTCCACTGGAATAAAAGCATTTCAATGAATCAGTTTCATTTTCATGTTGTGTTTATCTTTTGGGTTTATAAAAGTATACACTTTAATACACAGGTAATGTAAAGTACGCATATTAACTGAATAGCTTATACATCCCACTTTAGATATAACTAAAACACTTCGGTCTTGAAAAGGTATTTAATGTTTCAGATAACACCATCTAGGGCGTTTTGATAAGGAGCAAGTGGCTTTATAGTAAAACGTCTGAAACAAACAGGAAGCTGTTCTATCTGTCATGTGAGTGTTTCTGACTGTGGGCTTCTGGCAGTTTTTACACTCTCTGCCCTTTGAACCCTGTCTTCTGCCTGCCTTTCTTAACGTGTGTTTCTGAGAAGGGCTGATGGGCACAGTGACAGTGTGATGGAGAGTAAAGGAAGGCACATCTGAATTAGTGGGTTTTTAAAGGATGCTAAGTTATTGGTATTTTGTTCTAAAGAATGCTTCTGTTGATCTTTATTCAGTGACACTATTTGACCATGGACCTAATGGGCCTTAACATACTTTAGGCTGTTTCAGTATCTGATAATTCTGGATTCTTGCATTCTTTGTAAATGAATGGATACTTCTAAAGTGTTTTAAAGATAAGTTGAGAGGGCTCAAAAGTTAATTGTCTTCTTTCCAGTGCCACTGCAAGTAATTCTTCACTAGTTTATATCTGTAGTAAGACTTATCTCCCAAATTATAGTTTTCAGTACAAGAGTAATCGAGGGCCTCAAGCATCCTAGTCAAGTCCTCTACCAATGAGCTACATCTCCAGTCTTATTTTTAACTGTTCTATGTACCATGTGAGTGTTTCTGACTATGGGCTTCTGACAGTTTTTACACACTCTGCCCTTTGAACCGTGTCTTCTGTCTGCCCCTCTTACTTATAATTATGCTATAATTATGTTATAATTATGCTATAATAATTATTGTTTTATATTATATTTAACTGTAATAAATAATTCTTCAAATAATTGAACTCCATGAAACTGTTAAGAGTGTGTGCCCAACATTTGGATGTAGGACCATTGAGAATTATGATTCTGGAGAAGCAGTTTAGGAGAACCCAAAGAGAAACATTTTGTGTTGTGGTTGTTGGCAGAGATGTGCTGGAAGTTAGATACAGTCGGGACAGAGGGAATAACAGGCTTCCATGCAGAGCACAACTGGAAGGTGTGTGATAAATAACTTTAGAAACAAACAGTAACACTTGAGTTTTTCATTTACGGAACAGAATGCAGCGCACTTAACACAGGAAATGAAGGTTAACTTCCCCAAGTTGCTTTTGTCTTTTGTTTTCAGATGTGAGGAAATGTTAATGCCTAAGGGAACAGCCCAGGGAAACTTGTGGCCTCTGGCGTGAAGGAATGAGCAACCAGGCACACCAACTCTAGCCTTAGAACACTTTCAGCCACTAAGATCTTTATTATTCACCTTGTATTTCTTAGAGTAAGATGCTTTTATGCCAGTATTCAAGGCATTATATTTTATTATGGTGACTGTATAGAAGCAGAAAGCTGCCATTTGTTTAAGAGAAAATACTGAAACCTTAATTAAAAGTTTATGATGTTTATAAAAGAAGTTGATAATAGGAACTTGGCAGGTTTGATTTGTAAGTTCCATACTGAGGGCAGTGTTTTCTAACATCCCTCAAATGTGATCTGTGGATATTCAAAGCCTCCTGTGGGTTCCCTGCAGAACCACACAAGCTGCTGCACTCACTCATGGACTGTAGAATACCTTAATGCTTTATCATTTGACAGTTTAACCAAGGAAAAAGAACACATTTTATAGGTTTAACTTACTGTGACATTCTCTTCTATTTCCCTTCCCCTTCAGGTATCTCCAGGGCAGCTTACTAAAAAGTATAGCTCATGCTCAACAATATTTCTAGATGACAGCACAGTCAGCCAGCCTAACCTTAGAACCACAATAAAATGGTGAGTACAACTAGGCTGCCAGCGCTGAGTGACAGACCCCTCTGCTAGAAGCACCCAAGCCATACCTGGTCATTTCAGTCATTTGATTGTCCTATTAAGACGCAGTTTAAGACATTGGGGTCAATTAGAATACTGATTTTTAAGGGACAAAGTGTAAAATTTCAGTTTCCATTTTATCTTAGACTGCATGATGGAAAGGAGAGCCAGTTAGCAAACAAGAAATCCCAGGAAAAGTGTACCTCTGTCAGGTGCATTCGTATTGTCAAAGCACTGTTGAACATGATAGATGTGTCCAGATTGATTAGTTACAGGTCTAAGACAATGCTTACTGCTTTGGAAACTATTCTTCGAGTAGTCTGTCCTATGCTGGCACCATAGCACACGAGCAGTCCCATCCATAGGTTATAGTTAGAGATGACCTTTGAGCAACACCAAGATGAGTTCATTCTATGACAGTGACAGGAAGAGTGCAGAGATTTTTCCTGCACTGGAGTTGTCCAGGGAACACGTTTCCTTGGTTTGTAACTATTGAATTTTTTTTATTTAACACAGTTTGGGAAATGTTTGTTTTTAGAGTGTTAATGCTTTTAATCTCTAATTTTACTCCTCAGTCTAAAAAACATAATCAGCTTATAATTCTAATTTTGTTTCTAATATACTAGCTTTAAAAAAATTAGGCCAGTTATCAGAATTTTCTTCATTTAAAATCTGCAAGTTCTTATTCATTGTAATATATCTTTCCTTTCACACAACAGCAGTTGAGATTAAATTGTATTTCAGCAAAAACTGAGCCCCACCTCTGCAGGTCTTGAGTTAATTGATCATCTGTTCAATAATCACTGGTTGTGGGTTTTTAGAAAAGCCTCAGTCTGTGAGACTAAAACGATAATTGAAGTTTCATTAGAGTCCTCAGATCATTTTGAATTCAAATGATTCTGATATTTCTATATATGTAATTTGTATATTTTTAAAGAGTAACTTTGGTCACACCAATAGGTTTCATGCCCTTTCCCCAACTCCAGTGTAGCTTAACTTTTAGGAATCCACTTTTGAAAGTACAGTTTTAATTTGTTTTCTTTAATTATATTTTAAAAGTCAGTAAGTTTACTTGGTGAAATAAACATTTACCAAGAAGATTAAAGCAAATTACTTTGAGGAAAGATTTTGAAAAATGTTTATCATAGGCAATAGTGCATAATTTTCGAGGAGATTAAAAAAACTGTTTTGACTCATAAAACTTGTTTCAGTTATACATGCCTACATGTGACCATGGTGGCTCATATCTGCAATCCCAGCAGTTGGGAGGCTGAGGTTGCAAGATCCAGGAGTCCCAGATCATCCTCAGCTATATAGCAAGTGAGGGGCCAACCTCAGCTACATGAGACTTTGTTTCTAAGACAAGAGAAATATGGGCTGGAGAGATGCCTCTTTGGTTAAGAGCATTGTCTGCTCTTCAGAGTTCAATTTCCCAGCAACCACATTGGCTTATAACCATCTATACTGGGATCTGATGCCCTCATCTGGCATGCAGGTGTACCTGCAGATAGGGTTCTCATAAAATAAATAAATCAAAGAAAAGAAAAACCCATGTCTGTGAGCACACGAATTTTTCTCAGTTTTACCTTCCTCTTAATTCATAGATGAGTTCAGGTGCCTTTAAGAAAGGAGATGCATGTGAGGCACTTATGTCATTGGCAAAAAGTGTCCAAGCAAGTTCTTTGGTCTTCCCTTAACCCCTTCCCAACCTTTTCAGCACAATGGAATCACCCTGAGAACTTCAAAGTAGTCTGTTACCCTAGACTTAACCCAGTACCAGTTGATCAGAATGCCTTGGGCTAATCTTAAATCAGGGTGACTCTGGTGTGAGGCAGAGTTTGGGAGCCACTGCTTAATGAAAATAACTGTGCCTGCCTAATTGGTGTGGGACCTTAGAGTTATCAGTTTTAAACGTTGGTTCCCTCCCTTCTCTATCAAAGTGGTTGTTGGGTGAACTGTTGTGTAAGTCTTAGTGTCCTTTTCAGAAACATTTTTTGTGTGTGTGAGTTTAAAAATCAGTCTGAGGGTAAAACTGAAGCACTATAGAAGTATCCATCTTTGATGCCAATAATGTTATAAAGTTCAAGTTTTTAAATTTATATACAGCTACTTCTAAAATTCAGATTTGCCTTCCCTCAAACATTTTCAGTTTACATTTAAGATGGTATGGACAGATGGCAAATAGAAAACTTTTGTTCCCTAGTTCACATCATCTGTGGCAAATATAGGAGTAGAGTAATATAATGTCTAAAGAGTCATGACTACTTATTAATATTTCACTTAAACTAATTCAGAATAGCTGCCATTAATGCTATGCCCTTGTGCTATATTGAAACCAGTATATATTTCAGGGTAGCCAGTCCTATCAGCAGATTTGTGGGCACTCATTCATATTTACTAAGTGTTCTACTAATAATCATACAGAAGTGATTCTAAATGCTTTTATTCAGTATGCAGAACTTTTCATTTCTTACTTTAGGGAGCTAATGGTCTGTGGTGTTAAGTGGATAGTCAGCTATAAATCGTCTGCAATCTGAGGTCTAACCAAAAATCCCTGCTGTTTTAAATTTAAACATATGTACAAATACTACAATTTGGACTGAACAAATGGTTCTGTAGGTAGAAGGGCAAGTGATAGGAGGGGTATATAAGCATTTGCACATGGCCATAGTCAACGGAAGTCAACATGCCTTCTAAAACCATGTGTCAGTTGTGTAAGGAGTCAGAGCACCGTGAGTAGAACGGTGCCGCTTTAACTGCAGGACGTCAGGGCTTCTCGGAAAGTCGACCCTGCTTGAAAATGAGAAAAATAATTGCTTCAAATATTGTTTTTTCCTTCCACAGTGTGACCTTAGCAATATATTACCACATAAAGAACAGGTGAGCATGTTAAAATCCGTCTTACGATTCCAGCTAATTACCTTGCCAATACCAAATGTTAAGCCATAACCATAGACATCCGATGCGATAGAGTGTTTTTATTACAATATTGAAATGAATCTTCCATTAGAGTTCCTTGTTCTTAAGACCTTTTAAACAATAACTAGGTACTGAAGATTCTAAACTTGCTGGTTTATATATATTAAAATGTAAAAATATACATTGTAACCAGCACAGGATTTTTTTCAAACTTGATCCTAATACTTTTTTAACTAATTTCTTGTTGTGGTATCTCCTCTGCATGCATTGTAGGTTGTTTAACAATGTTACAATTGTCTGCTCCCGTTGTGACAATCAAAAATCACAGCAAAGAACCATCTTGTTAACATCATTTAAAAAAAAAAGACTTTTCTGCCTAAAATTGAGAAAACATCTCCTTGGCATTTTTATAAGTTTTAGAGTAGGACTTGGTAGAAAGACAAATAGATTTTCATGTTTCTCTGTCTTCACTTTCAGTTTGTTTTAAAGAAGCAAGAAACCAGTTCTCACTCATGCATTTGAGGGAAAGTTATTTTTAAAGCTTTCAGATTTCTTTTTAACTTTTTGATTCACACTGTGTATCCCACTTTTATATCTTTGATCCTCTCTAGTGCTACACTAAAGCTCCATGAGGAAGCTTCATTGTAATAGAACTTTGTGTCTCAGTGAACCCTTACACTGTACTCACTGTATAAACTGTAGAATAACTGAATGTTTTACTACTACATAGTTAAATGATATATCCTGGTCATATGGAGAATAATGAGTCACCCTTCTTTTTAATGTGAGGAGAAAGTCTGAGCACAGACAAGCTGTAAGACACAGAGCAGAAGGTACAGGGTCTCAAGCTTGGCTTTTACAGAGCTTGACACCTTGAATTTTATCATGACCAGTTATGTTTTCCTCAAAAGTGACAGGCCACTACGTTCAATTTTAAGAATATTTGTAGTTACACATAAAAATGATATTCTGTAATAAAGAGCTGGTTGACTTCACAAGTAACTCACGTTCCGAATATTAAAAAAGAAAGGTCAAGGTTTTGTGACATTAGTTATCCTGTTTCATCAAAGACATAGCACAACAGCAGCAGGCTCTGGAACCAAGTGCAGTGCAGCGGGAAGGAGAGTGCTGGCAGAGCCAGGTCATGCCCAGATCAGGTCACTCACACTCACTCTCTGTCAGTTGGCACAATGTACAGCCATAAGAAGCAGGCAGTGCTTCATATATATGATGAATAGTGTTGGAACCCATGTGCCTCCTCCTGCTAAGGGACTCTCCTGAGTCCACAACCTCAGAGAAGCAGTGCTTAAATAAATGTACTTTATTTGTTTGGTGAACTTTTACACACACACACACACACACACACACACACACACAATGGTGTTTTAAAGGGGAGGGGAAGCTAAGTTTTAATTCATACTATTTATAAGAAGCAAGTGTATAACTTAAAAAAAATGCAGAGAATTAAAGAAAACCTGGGAAATTTAAATGTTGTTTGCATTCATCAAAGTTCTAAGTTCCTGAATGTCCACTGCTATCTTATATGAGGAGGAAATATAACCTGATTATTGGCACTGTTGAGAGTATCAGTACTTCACAGGTACACTCACCAGCAAAGATGCCACAGTACTAGATAAAAAGAGGTTTTAAAACTGGAATCCAGAAGGAACTGTAGACCACTTGCTTTGTTAAAGGTTGGACTTCCCCTGTCTGTCTCGCCCTACGTACAGCAGTTGTAAACTGAGGTACTACTAACACGTCCCTGTACTGTTAAATTTTACAGAGATGCAAATAGATCCCTGGACATTTTTGATGAGCGGTCACATCCTCTCACAGTAAGTATCTGTTTGCCTTTCTTAAAATTGTATTTTTCTTTCCTAGTGTGTTTACTTCCTGTCTGCTTGTTCTGTAGCTGATTACTCTGAGAAAACTAGTCCCTCTAGCTTGAGTTTGGAGTGTTGTGCCATGCCTATGATAGAATAACAATTGGCTTGAGGCTTTGCTTAAGCAGTGAGCTAAGGGAAATAAATGTGTTGTCTTAAATAATGGAAAATTCAGTGTTTCAGAAGATAATCTTCAGTAACATCAAGCGGTATAAATATTTGTAAACAAATCTAACAAATGTGTAAAAAAAAAAATTAGGAAACTTTAAATCAGTTAAAATGGCATAAGCCAGGTATAGTTTTGGATATATCTGTAATTTCAGTACCTTGAAGGCTGAAGCAGAATAGTGATTTAAAAGACAGTCTACATAGTAAGAGCAACATAGTAAGACCCTAACTTGAAAAACAACCAGTCAATCAAAGAACCTATAAAATTGTAAGAAGTCACTTCATCAGACGTATGCTGGCCACTCTTGATACTTAAGAGGCACACATGCTTTTTTTTCCAAGTATATTGCAGACAAGTGTCACCTCTGTGACACTTTAAGATCAGTATGATTTCAGCATTAAAAAAAAAAAAACTGGGTAGGAAAATAGAAGAGTATATATAAAATTCCTGAGCTTGTGCTTGTGTATCCCTTTAATAAAGGATGGGTGGGTATGAATAATTACAGTAGAGCCAGATACTGCTTAACGGTGGGGACATCCTCAAATATGTGTTAGGTGATTTTGTTATTCTGCAAAAATTGTAGAGTACTTTATCTAAGATAGCGATAGTATTACTCACTGGTACTTTATGGAACTGATATTATATATTTAATTAGTCATTGCTGAAAATGTCATTCTTGCCAATTGCCTGTAAGATCCCACACTGTTTATATTGAAAAAAAAATGAAAGTCACTGGGCATGGTGACACACTTAACCTCAGCACTCAGGAGGAAGCCTCAAAACAAGCATACAAGCAAAAAAATGAAATAACTCTTACTACTCAGACCAACAAGATGGTTCAGCAGGAAAAGGAACTTGCTGCCAAGCCTGAGGATCTGTGCTTGACCCTCAGTACTGTAAAGGGAAAGGACTGACTCCCTAACGTTGTCCTTTGACCTCATGTGTACACTGTGGCTGTGCATGCCCATACACATATTTATACACACATACACGATAAATGCTGTAAAAGCAGCCATGCTACCCAATTGAAATTACCTTACAGAACAGGTGAGCACAATGTGGAGACAGACCCAAGTATTCTTAAGAATACTTAAAGATGTCTTTTGGTCAATATTTATATTGCGTTTTTTTTTTTCTTTCAGAGAGAGAAAGTTCCAGAGGAATACTTTAAGCATGACCCTGAACACAAATTTATTTACAGATTTGTTCGTACACTTTTTAGTGCCGCACAGCTGACAGCAGAATGTGCAATAGTGACGTTGGTAAGCTATTCTTTCCTGCTGTTCATTAGAAAGCTTGTACCCAGATACGTTTAATCCCTGAAATGATCATAAAACTGCAATAAGAACCTTCTCAAGGAATGCAGAGACACATACTTGAATTTAATAGTCATTGTGGTCTACAATGTTACCATTGCCTTTATTATCACAAAACAATTGCTATTAAAGGCAGTAAGAGAGAGTTCTCCCCTCATACCTCAGTATACATATACAGGCATGTTGATGGGGCAGGAATGGGAAGCAGTAACAACCCAAGTGGTTCACCAGTCCGATTCACTGCAGTTCAAGGCTCATGCCAGGCTGTGTTCCCCAGGTGCTTCTCTTGTATGCTATGCTTGATTACTGCCCACCCCTTTAATACAGTTCCTCATGTTGTGGGGACCTAACCATAAAATTATTTTTGCTGCTACTTGATAACTCTAATTTTGCTAGTTATGAGTCATAATGTAAAATATTTTTGGAAATAGAGGTTTGCTAAAGAGGTTGCGACCCACAGGTTGAAAAGCATTGGTCTCGGCACTACTCCACTGCCTATAATACCTAAACTTCTTGCTTCCTCTTTGCAGTTAGGCTGTTGTTCAAATGCCACTTCTCTAAGGTCTTCTGCTCATTAATTTAAAACAAAAAGCTCTCCAGTCACTCATGAGCCTTTTACATGCTTAATTTTCATGGCAAAAAGCAACTACCTGAAATAGACATTTGCAAATCACCCATGGTCTTCCTTACCAGGACATACTCTCAAGGCAGGACTTCTGTCCCATGTGCATTCGTCTCTGCCCTGGTATGGAGCAGCTGTCCAGGATATATGCTTGTGGCCTCTTTCAGCATTTGCCATGGTTCGAGTGCCTTCCCATTGTGGGAGTGTCTTATCTTGCCTTCTGTTACTCATTCCTGCATTTCCTCCTGCTGTGCTTGGCCTCCTCCCCTACAGACTTGTCTCTCAAACACTGAAGATAGATCTGTGAGGGTTGGCTGCCCATTTTCATTACTAATGTTCTCTGCATTTCAACAGATATTTTTAATTCTTCACCTCTGATTCAGATTCATTCTGCAGTCTTGGATATTCAAGGGCCAGGCAGGGCCATTCTGATCTTCCAGGAATGGAAGCTTCCCTCACTTACAAGGACCTCCCCACCTCTCTTTCTAACCCAGTTTCCTCCCTCCACAGCATTAGTGCCCACAGGGAGATTCTGATCATGAACATAGCATATGTCTCTTCTTCAGAGTCTAACTGGATGCTAAAGAAGTAGGTAGTCATCTTTCCTCAGGCCAAGCATTTGACTTTTCACTATGCATTTCCTGCAGGGGCAGTAAAATCCAAATCACGAGAACATGCATTATTTAAAACAGTAGTCTTGCTATAGGCCTTCTCAATGGATGACCTAAAGTTAAGCACACACCTGTAGCTTAGCAAGTTCACAAAGCCTTTCTAAGAACTACTGTACTATAATCCTGGGCAACTTCATAGGCAGAAATAAGTAGTCAGCAGAGGTGGATTAGCACCCATCATCCAAGAAACAAAGTAGGGTGGCCATGTGGGGGTGAGGACTAAGGGAGATGAGGAGGAAGGAGATACCAGGGTCAGTCTCACAAGGAAAGAGGTTCCAGGTTGGTTAGTAACTTTTGGGTAAGTCTTGAGCATGGGAAATGTGATCTTAATTCAGGAGGCTTTCCTACCTGTTTTTGGAGAGAGAGAGACTATAACTGGAGGTCAGAATAGAGGCAAGTGGAACGTTAGAATGCCGTACAATGATATAGGCAAGCAGTGAAAAATGTCCAGGAGAGAGAGCTGGTAGATTACCAGTGAGGATAGCAAGAGCAGCTGTTGCTTGCAGACTGGAGAAGGATAACTGCGTTTGGGCTTCGACAACCAGGCAGGTGACGAGGTGAAGTAAGAAGGTCTGGGTCTGTAAGTGAAGGCACTGATGAGCAGCGTGGCAGGTGCTGTTTCAGAATAGTGATGACATCCAGAGGCAGAAACAAGTGGTCTGGGGGTGGGCTGGCATGTGCCTGATCTGCTGCTGAGCTGAGCTGAACGGAGCAACCAGACATTTACATTGAACTAATCTCTGGCAGGGGGAGAAAGTCTTTAAAAAGCCATTTGGGGGAAGAATGCTGTGCACAGTGGGATGGAACCAGACCCACAAAATAGAAGAGTTGGCTTTAGTTTGAGGAAAACAAAGTCCTGTCTTCCACTGACACAGGACAAGTGTTACTGAGGACCAGTACCTAACATACCTGTCAGAAAAGGGCAGCCAAGGTTTGCCAGTGCTCCACAGCTCTCTGACTATTTCTGGAAGAACCAGGGGTACCCTGAGAGAAGGATTCATTCCTCAGATACTTGAGAATGCCAAGTATGGGGGATAATCTCATAGAGAACATGTAATATTTGGCAGACATTTGTGTTTGGAAAAAACTTGAGTTTGAAGAACATTACGAAATCTGAACCATTAGTCTAATGGCCTTAAAGGGGAGGGGGGAGATTATCTCTTAAAAGTAAACTCCTTTTTTGCCTTTTTATCTTGATAAAAAGCACTTACAACCATATATGGGCTGCCTTCCACAACTGAGCTTGGCATCTGGTTTCTACCAGTTGTAGATCATAAATACTTGTTGGGGAGCTTCTCTTGCCATTCTCCAAACAGAATTATTTGGATTAGCTTTTACATTGTATTTAGTGTTGACACTAATCTAGAGGTGATTTAAAACATGGCACTGAGCACATCTTAGTGCTCATAGAGTGAAGCGGCCATGAGTTCAGGGCCAGCCTGAGCTGTATAGTGATACCTTGTCTTACAATAGCAAACACTGATGATCTGCCTGCTTCATTCTCTGGAGTGATTAAAGTCAAGGGAATTAAGTTGCAGATTATGTAAGATTGTGTATGGCTTCTTAGGAAGTGAGAGCAGAGAAGGGGAAATGATTATATAAAGGACCATCCTTGGGTGCAGGTGGCTCTGTAATGGCACTGTGCCTATGGTGCTGCTCTACCCAGCAGCCACTAGGAGGCTCTCTTGTCCTAGTTCCACACAGGGTTAGTGTGAACTGGAAAAGGTTTAAATATGCTCAGGGTGGCTTGGTTTTTATACGTTTAAGCCTAGCATTAGCACACCTGTAAAATTACAGCAAACAGGTTTAATGAACAGCCCGAATCTGCACTGGGCCTGTTTGCTGCTCTGCAAGCATGAAGATGACACCAATATCACTCACTCTTCAGGATACCCTTTACCAAATGACAGTCCTTGCTCTGATGCATGGGCAGAGTGGGCTGCAGAGAGGTCTGACTTCAGATCTGGCCTCTTGCAGAGTTTCTGTAGCACTACCTAATGAAACACAGAGGAGACCTGTCATCCACACATTCAATACATACCCTGAACTAAATCAAAGATTGGTGCTCTGTTCTGCAGGTTTACTTAGAGAGGCTCCTAACTTATGCTGAGATCGACATTTGTCCCACCAACTGGAAAAGAATTGTTTTGGGAGCCATTCTTCTTGCCTCCAAGGTTTGGGATGATCAGGCTGTATGGAATGTAGACTACTGCCAGATCCTCAAGGACATTACAGTTGAGGACATGTGAGTGTGTAAGGTTTGGTAGTGCTTTCCGAACCATTTTTCTACTACTCTTAACTTACTACCATGAAGTTTTGCATAAAACTTAGAGTGTTTTTAAAGGCTGTTTAAAACTCTTGTTTAAAGTTCTTAAAACTTTCCACCATGTGTGTGTTTTATTATACTGTATTTCTCTTCAAAAGAATAAGTTAACTAAGCAGCTGCTTAAACAGACAGTGGAAATAGACATAAAACTACATTCTTTTTTTTTTTTTTTGGTTTTTCGAGACAGGGTTTCTCTGTGTAGCCCTGGCTGTCCTGGAACTCCCTCTGTAGACCAGGCTGGCCTCGAACTCAGAAATCCGCCTGCCTCTGCCTCCCAAGTGCTGGGATTAAAGGCATGCGCCACCACTGCCCGGCATAAAACTACATTCTTATCGTCAACTTCATAGCAGTTCATAGCTTCCATCATTAATTGGTAGGTCTTGATATAATATGTATAATAATGTGCTTGATAAGTTATTTTTCTTGTGGTTTAGTGACCCTTGGAAGGACAGCATAGTACAGTATATATTTTATTACTTTTTAAAAGCTACCAGGTCTCTTCCCTTTTTAAAGGGCTTTTGAAAGTGTCTGCCTGTGTTCGTGTCTCAGAGCATCTAGACTTCTGTAAGGTTTAGCTTCACCTTAAGTCACTCATTATCTATTTACTTTTGCTACCCTCTTCCCTTTTAATCTGAGCGTTAACAACAGAAACTGTGAGGTACAAAAGTAAAAGCTTTACTCCTCTGCAATGTGGAGCACTGTTTGCTTTTAAAGATGGTCTCATGAGCCAGGAAGCTCTAGGATTCCTCTCAGGCAACCCTAGAAGCATCTCTGAGGTTTCGATGGGTTATGAGCACACTCAGCACTTGCCCAGTCACAGCAGCACTCTGCAGGCCCCAAGCTCACTGAGAGCATGGCCACTAGCATGGGGCTCATGCTATAACAGGTAAGGCTGTGGAGTTTGCAAGCAGACTGCACACTGGAGAGGTTTCCAGCAAACTCTGAAAGTGCCCACTTGACAGTGAAATGTCACTTTGTGGGTAGCACTCAAGAAATAGTGTAGTTATGAAGAAACTCCTTGATTGTATTGATCATCATAGGAAGATCAAGGTATGAGGGTAATAGAAGTTACCCATTTTTGTAGGTAGGACTGTCAGTCAAAATTACCAAACTCTTTATAACTGAAGTAATAACTAAGGGACCATTTACAACAACTGGAATGTTGGGTGAAAATGACTTCTTTCATAAGTGGTTGTGGCACTGGGAGCCATCTTAGCAAAGGATATGACAACAAAAGAATCTGAAATAATTAAGACACTTGTGAGTTACCGAGGTCAGAGTGACTGGTCACTATGTCAGACCTCTATAGACTGGCCCCTGGGAAAAAGCAAGATGTGTAACATATGCTGTGCGTGACAGCCAAAAAATATTTATAAACACCACACGTGATAGCCAAAATACTTTAAAACTTAAACTCAGATACTAGGGGCTCTGGTTGTAATTGTAAGATCAGAAAAGATTAGGAAACATGTCTAGATTTCCCAGACATGAACCCACTGCAGGGGCAGTGGTGACAGGGCTGAGTCTCTGGTCCTCACAACCCTTTGTTATGAACAGAAGAGCACCAGGAGCCATGTTCCTAACAGTCACCTTTTGTTTATGATCTCTGCCAACCAAAGAGCATGACAACAAGGTTAATGCACATTTGTCTCCTTCCCTGTTGGTGTTAAAAATGTGTTTCTACCATATTTTTCTTAAACCTTTCCACCATGTATGTGTTTTGTTATCATGTATTTCTGTTCAAAAGAATAAGTTAACTACGCAGCTGCTGCTCAGAAAATGTGCTGTGCCTGTAAATGGTATGTCATTCAGACATGTGGAAAAACCCCAGAAGGTGCAGATTCTGTTGGCATAATGCTTTCCTTCAGTGATTAAACCTCTATTAATAGACATGCTAATCCTGTGAAGGACTGTATTTTAACACTGTTAAAATGTATTAGTGGAGAAAATATAAAAGGGATAGTGAAGTATGTTTGTTCTAGTAGCAAATTAAGTCTTGATTACCTGATTATCAAAACATCTGATTTACATTTCTATAGACTTATTGCCATATGAACAGGAAATTAATTTTGGAAGTAGGCTGTTTAGCTTTAATTTCTGCAAATGAGAAAACCGTATTTTCTACCTTCCATATAGAATGTCAGATACTTTTTGAGGTACTTAACAAAAAATTAAAAATTAAAAACTTAGAACCAAGAAACTAAGTGTGTTCTAAGATAAGCCTCAGTTGTGTTTGCTTAAGTATTTATAGTTTTTCTATAATTTCTAGAGAGAATTGTGGCTGGTCAGATGTACTCTAATTTTATGCTTCCAGCAAGGTCACAGAGCCCAGAGCTGCTCTCATCCCCCTCCCTTTCACATTTCCCACTTTATTAAACTATTCTGTGTCCCAGCTAGGGCAGCAAATGCTGGGGAGTTTTATTCCCTGCACAGGAACCAGGTTTGTTGGTCCAGTGCTCTACTAGATGTAGTACACTAAAGTGAGTTTATAGTGTAGCCAGGACATCTGTCTTTGATCTCTCTGCTTTCCAAAATTTAAAGTGAGTAGCTTGGCCGTCATAGTAACAGTTTGCCACCTTAGTACAGTATTAAGGTGAGCAGAAACTTGGATTATGCCCTTTGACATAGCCTCATGTGCCGGGGCAGGGGGAAGGGATTTCCTTTCCCATCCAGTGTGGCTTATTTATTTATTTATTTATTTGAGATGAATCCTTGTTGCCTCAAGAGTTTTTCCCCCTCAGAGATAATAGCGTTGCTCTCGATGGATCCATTTGTTGCCGTGGTGATGTGCCCACTCCTTTTGTTGGCGCTTCTCTACTTCAATAAGCCCCTTCCTGTTATCAGCCCGGTGAAAATGTCTGCAAGTTCTTCAGAGCTAATAAACAGCATACATCATTCCTTTCATCTGCTCACTATAGCAGGCCTTGTGAGTGAGCATGGAGCATGAATCGTACAGCTGCACTAATGGAACTCTGAAGAATGAGCCTGCAAGTCAGCAGCACAAGCGCACGAGAGGGCTGGAACCCTTTCCCCTCCGCCCACACTCAGAGTGCCAGGACGTAAGAGGACCACAAATAGCTAGACTTTGTCTGAACATTAGTATATTAATCCAGCTGGGTAGCCTTCATGTGTTCCAAAATAGAATTTAAAACTACTCTAGAAGCTCTGAATGATACTTTTGAAGATAGCTCAGTTGACTAAAATTGTCCTGTGTGAATTTTGATGTTTCTCCTCTTCCAGGAATGAGATGGAAAGGCATTTTTTGGAGCTACTCCAGTTTAATATTAATGTTCCTGCAAGTGTTTATGCCAAATACTACTTTGACCTTCGCTCCTTAGCAGATGACAACAACCTGAATTTTCTTTTTTCTCCTCTCAGCAAGGAGAGAGCACAGAACCTAGAGGTAAGGCTGCATTCACTAAATGGGGTTTTCTACAAGCCACCTGGTCAACACCTGTGAAGACAATGGAAAGCTTTTAAACTAACACATTGAAGAGGTTGTTATCTCTTTGGCATAATATTTCCTGGGCCTTTTACGGTTTCTACAAGTATCTGCATTATATAGAGAGGTAAATATTACCTCCTCTGATCATAATTCAGAGTCATTTTAATCAAATGTAATATAGTTTTAATAGTTTCCCTATTGATGGGGTTGGAGAGATGGCTCATCAGTTAAGAGCACTGAATGCACTTCCAGAGGACCCATGTTCAATTCCCAGTACCACATGGCAGCTCACAACTGTCTTTTAATTCCAGGATCTGACATTCTCCCACAGACATACATGCAGGCAAAATACCAATACACATAAAATAAAAATAATAGTTCCATATTGAAATTCTGTATTCCCACAAAACCTCCTTGAAACTTCTTGAAATTATATCCTTAATCAAACTCTGCTGCATTTCCCTCAGTTGACAAATTGTCAGGATTTAGATACCATGACTATATTAGACAGCATTGGGGGGCTAAACTGAGACCTGTGTCTAAGAGTGGTAATGGGGGCAAGAGAGCTAGCTCAGAGATCGAAGAGTGCTTCCTGCTCTTCTAGAGGATCTGAGTTCACATACCAGCAGTCACATCCAGTCCTTCACGATTGTGTATAACTCCAACTCTGAGGGATCAGGCACCTTCAGATAGCCCTGAGTAGCCCTCCCCTACCACAATCATAAATAAAAATGTTTTTAAAATGAAAGTGTTAACTTATATAAGGCCAAGTAATATTTATGGCTTAAAACTTTTAGAAAATTTAAATTAGTAATAAAAGTTAACTAATAAAAATTAGTAAATAAGTCATGCTGATTCACATACTTTAGAGTGGAACTTCCTTAAGTCCCTTGATCATTTAGAATGTTGTTCTACTATTAAATGTGCTAGAGTTGTGAACTAGCAACTGTAAACGCTTGAGTCATTAGAGCCCTGCTGCTGAGTGTAGCGTTTGCCCGCCTTGTTAGCCTTGTTGTTAGACCAATAGGAGCTGAGCAAATACTAATTGTTTATGCACAAGTGTGTGTTCATGGTTAAAAACCAGTTACACAAGTAACATGATAATGATGTAAAAGCCTGTCACAATAGCTTCTCCATTTTTGAGAACTGTGTGTGGTACATGTATCTGAAGTTGGCATAGGTGTCTTCCTGAATCATTCTTCATTTACCTTTTAAAATAAGATCTCTCATTGAATCTGGAGCTCACTGGGTTGCTAGACAGGCCATTGAGGTCCTGGGCTTCTCCTTTCACCACTTCCTAGCACTGGGAAAACAGGCCTGTGCCACTGCACCTGGCCCCTTACATGCATGCCAGTGAATGCAAACTCAAGTTCTGCATGCACAGGCAGCCCTTTACTCACAGGGACATCTCTCCAGTAACTTAATAAAGTTTCCCTTTAGTAGGCATTCAGTCATGACCCTGGAAAGGTTAGTCAATTAGCATCTTTAGATGCATGTGGCTGCATTTGTTTAGAATCTAAAGGATGGCTTAGTACACCAGTAGGTCCTCGTCTGCTTCATGGAGTAGTTTGTGTTGCTTTTTGTTTTGTTTTCCTTGAGGTTGAATTCCTTTTTTTAACCTCTCCGTTGTTCGATTTCCTTTCCTAGGCCATTTCAAGATTGTGTGAAGACAAATACAAAGACTTGTGTAGAGCTGCTATGAGAAGATCTTTAAGCGCTGATAATTTCATTGGTATTCAGCGCTCTAATGCCATCCTCTCCTAAGAGAGAGACTCGAGGAGTGAGAACACCAGGGACTCCTCATTGACAGACTGGAGAAACAGCACCTCTCCTGATCAGAGACCAGCAGAGGTGGGACTCCACGGAATGGGAAGACCTCGGATTCAAGAGACTCTGGACAGTGACTGCTGACTCCATAGGAAAGAATGGGACCTTGTCAAAGCAACCACTCTCTGTCCTTTGTAATGTAAACGGTTACAGCAGAAACCACTCCACAGCAAAAGCGCTGAGCACACAGATAGTGCTTACTATGTAGGCCAATGGCTATGAAATATGTGAGGTTTTTAATTGTTCCAATTTTTAGACTTTTGTTTGAGACAGGGTCTTACATAGCCGGGGCTGGCCTCAAACTCAGTATATGATTGAGGCTGTCCTTGAACTCCTATCTTCCTGCCTCTACCTCCCAAATGCTGGGATTACCATGCCTGGCTCAGATTTTTAGACTTTAAAGACACTAACCATATAACTTTCGTTTTTCTTGTTTTTCTTGCCCCTGCCCCACCCAACTGCTGCATATGCTTTTAGAATTGATGCATTTCAGTATTACCATTAAAACATGAGAATCCTTCCCCATTTTTGTGGTGCTGGGAATCAAACCGAAGACCTAGCATGTGCTTGGTGAGCATTTGACCACTGAGCTACACTTCTCAGCCCCAAACATGGGATTCTTAACACTCATGAAACCACCTAGGAGCAGATTGTAGCATCATTAGGTATTAAAGGTTCTCCCACTGTGTCATCAAAGCTGCTAGTCATTATTGGCAATCAGTTTAAATTACCAGAAAGCTGCTGGGAAACATCTGCCATTCACACTGTTTGCAAGCACTGCTTGCTAGCATTTTAGTATGTTTGGAGCCATAAAGAGAAAGTATCCGCTGTTGACTACTTCTGTTTGTCCACGCTGCATTTCCTGTGAACTGTTAATGGTGCTTCTCGTTTTCTGATTATTTTTCTTATGTGTTAAACAAGTGAATTAAAAGATGTTTTCATAATGCCAAACAACATAGCAGTTCAGTGATCATGATCAAATAGTAAAAATACAAGGTGTCCCCAAAATTAGTGACTACTTCGCACTTACTGTCCTGCGGGGTCTCTGGAGACACTACAACAGAAGCATAAAAGTTACACACTTCACAGAACATCATTTGAAAGTTTTAATTTTACCAATTTGAAATAATTAAGCTAATTTTTTTTGTTTCTCAAAGATTGTAAACATAAACCAAAAATATTCCAAATTTGGAGAATTAAGTTGAAAAGAAAGGTAACTTAAAACTTTTAAATAATGTTTCATTAGTTTTGTAGCATTTTTATAATTCTACAGGCATCAGAGCTTACTTACCACTGCATGGAGATTTGGGAGCTGCTTGTCTTTCCATGGAAGCACTCCTGTTTTCAAGTAGTTCTTTGCCAGGCTGGGCTCTAACTGCTTTGATCACCTAAGTGTCTTTACACTCAGTTAAGGGAGGCTATGAAAAGCAGTGTTAACTCCCATGCAACAAATCAAAAGGAACCAGATCCTCAAACAGCCAGTGAAATGAGCAATTAAAAAACTACCCTGCATGCTCTCCTGGATGCAGGTCTCTCCCAAACTGCATCCTTGCAGCCCTACGCACAGGCATTAAACAGCAGGGAGCAAAGAGACAGGGAAGTGATGGCAGCAGCGGCTAAATCGGAAATAATAAAAGATTTGCATCCTACAACTATGTGCATTCTATTCTCACATCTAACCTTGGAAATCTTACCTGAAAACAAGACTTTTTGTGGGCCAAGAATACTTTCTCTTGAGGCTGCAATGCTTCATATGCTTGTATGTGCTGCCAGGCTCATCATTTTTAAAGGACAGACATAAGTGTTAAAGAAGGATGTATGAAATATTACAATCTACCACCTCAAAAAACATTGTTTATGGAGTTCAGAGCTTCGAGATTCAAGTATCAGATTGCAGTTTTATTTTGAAAAGAATGCTACAACTTAACGTGTTTTTTTCTTTCTCATGTTTATATTAAAAGAAAAGCTAATAAATTCTATTTTAATTAAAATATGCCTAGTGTGTTTGTACCACTTCTCTGTCCACAGGGCACTATCTCTCTAGAACTTGTGTTTACCTTGGTCATGAAGGCTCTTACTACTAACCAAGCTGTTTTGATTCATGCCACTAGTTCAGGAGTAATAATTGTGGTTGGTCCTCGGCCTTCCCAATACTGTGACCCTTTAATACAGTCCTTATGTTGTGCTGATCCCTGACCACTAAGTTATTTTTGTTGGTATTTCATGACTATATTTGCAAACATACGAATTGTTATGAAGATATCTGATATCCATGATAGCTGATATGTACAACCCCTGTGAAAGGGTGGTTCCACCCCCTACCCCTACTCCAAAAGGAATCGCAACCCACAAGTTGGGAACCACTGGCTTAGGAATGTGTTACCTGAAGATAGTGTATCATACTAGGGTTCTGTTTGGCCACAGTATTTAGTGACATCATGCAGTACATAGATAGCTCCTTTGAGTAGTCCGTTGTTGTGATCAGGAAGAATCACAATAGATGATGAAATTATAGATGTAACACCGAAGAGAAAGTGGCTAGAATGGTATCAAATTAGAACATGTTCCAGGGAGTAAAGCAGAACTAGGGGGGTTGAATTAGGGTTGCTTAAAACATGTTGCATGAAGCTTAACTTGTCTCAGGTTTGCATTGCAGGTGGGAATAAACCCAATCAACTTAAGGGTTTGGGTTTTGGTTTGAGACAGGGACTCTTAATTTGTATCCTGGGCGGGTCTGGAAATCTTGAATATACCTCCCACAGCTTCACCCCCAACTCTGCTCCCCAGTGAGGTTCCTGAAAAGCCACTCGGCTTCAGCTACTGTTGCTAAACCCTGCACATGCTACATATTTATTTTTTTCCGATATGTGAACTTAGATCTTTTGGCGATGGATCGCTTTGTTCTTGACGTAGGATAATTGAACTGACAATTTAGGAAGGGAAAACCTGTCGTAAGTCACAAGAGTATTTGCACCTTGCAGCTAGAGAGATGACTAAACAGTTAAGAGCAAGTGTTGGTCTTGTAGAGAACCTGAGATCAATTCCCAATACCTACAAGCACCTAATGGCTGCCACGTCCAGGAAGTCTGACATGCTTCTGACATCAGGCACAAACACACATGTACACAAGTTAATCATTTTTAAAGGACTTACATTTTATATGTGGAAACACTGAGTAGTCAGATGTTGATCTGTAAGAGGGACTAAGGACAGGAATCTGCAACTTTGGCTAAGATGGCGTCATGAACATCACTAAGAATTGTTTTTCCTTCCTCAACCCTGACTCTAGGATATGAATCATTTTGATAAATGGGAAATTGGATCAACTGAGAATGTAAATGTCACCTAAGATGAGTAGGTCTCTGAAAATGAAGCATGGGGACCTAATCACCAGTAGGGTGCTAACTAGATCTTCTCAGAGTTATGTACTTTCAAAAGATTACAAAAAGAAATATCTGCCTGGACTCAACAATTTCTGATTTTGTGTTTTAGAGGGTACATTGGTGGTGGTCTGTTTGGTTTTTGTTTTTAACCTCTAGAATTCAACTTTTTAAGATCTGTATGTTTTGGGACAGTGTCCCACTATGCAGGTCTTACTGACCTGGAACTCTCTTTAAGTAGACCAGGCTGGCCTTGGACTCAGAACTTCTGCCTCTGCCTCCAGATTGCTGAGTTTAAAGGCCTGTGCCACCACACTGACCTCAGAGTTCTAAATGGTGTATGACAATTTCATTATACAAAAAAGACAAAAATCTGAAGTGCATGTTTGATCCCAGTATAACTACCATTTTTGCAGAGTGAAAACTGGCAGCTGCTTAGTAATTCTCTCCCTGTTCACTGCTAGATTTCTTTGTATCAGATTCCAACCCAGACCACCCTTTCACATTTCCTGTTTTGTTTTGTTTTAATTCAACAACACAAACTTTTGGTTTTATGACAGCTCAGCTTAGTTTCTTATATCCCTAAATACAGTATTCCCTGATTCAAAGACATCCATCAGTATTAACAACAAAGGTATCAGGTAGGCAGTGTTTTCATAAGCTATGCAGGCTAGCTAAATAAAACCTTTCACAACCCAACTTCAGCCCCCTTTAAAATGACTGGTTTGCCTGCCTGCCCCTTCACCCAGAAGCTGCATTCTTAACACAGTACTATTTGGAAAGAAAGCTCTGAGCACAGAAATATCACAAGGTAAAGGACTAGTTTCTGTGCAGACTGAGCCTAGCATCCATCACTTTAAATCCAGTGCAGGATTATTTCTAATTTAACTACCAGCCACTTAACTTACCTGGAGTCCTGACTCTGCCAGCAAATGTCACAAAGGATAGAATAGGGCTGTTTCCCCTAGTGCATAAGAGCAACATTGGTTTCATGGGCTCTTTCCACTCAACCATTTTAAGTGGGTTTGCCAGTAAGAGAACATGTACTTGCTTTGAAATAAACTTTTAGGAATCCCACCCTGTGGCTTGAGATCTTAAGTGTGCATGAAGGACCATTGGGGCTGTTACATTGTATAGAAGCAGAATCCTAAATCTAGTGAAAAGTTAACATTCTTTTAAAAGGGAAAAGTTCAGATGATCTTTAAAAGTTTTTTTAAAAAAAACACCTAGCCTTAGAACTGCTATAAAAACTGGGCAGTTTCAGTGTGATCAAGGAAATTCAGTGGGAATTCCAGAACTTAAGAGCCACGTCAAGATACCAAATACGATGTTTCTGAGGACTTCAAAGGATACCCAGGAGAGTATGATCGCTTGAAAACATTCCTGCTGTTTCATCTCCTTACCCTTCAAGTCTACAGACCACCTGTAATTCCAATGGTTAGTCTCTAGTAGAACTAATTCCTCCAAAGGCTGACATTCAGTGTGCCCCCATTTTCCCCTCCCAGTTTTCAGGGCTCAAGGCCTGGAGGCCCGGTGCAATAAACCATCCCAGTTTTGTCACCTGTAATCTTTTTGACTAATGCCCAACATGACACTCTTCATGCTGGTTACTATATAAAAAGCCCTCCACTGATGCCAGGTTCAAAGAAATGCAGGCTTTCTATGGCTTACTGGCTAAGCTAACAGGCTCCTTAGCTCACCTGTGCCAGCCCACACGGTCCCGTAACAGCTGCTTCCAGCTCAGCAGTGCTTAGCAATTCCACTACTTTGACTTAGTGCAATCCTTTAAATGTCCCAGTAGTTCTCAAGATAGGGTCATCAAGTCACCTCCCAGCAGCTTGTCCAGGAACAATGAGCTTTCTTTGAATGCAATATAGCATCATGAACTCTGGACTCCAGAATATTAGTGGGAAATCTGATGAAGTTTAGAGTTCCCATCGACTTTTTAACATGGTTAAGACTTAACACAACTCTGATCCCAGCACTCTGGGGGGCAGAGGCTGGTGGATCTCTTAGGTTCCAGGCCATAGTTCCAAAACAGAAAGAGCTACAGAGACCCTGTCTCAAAACAAAACAAAACAAAACAATGAACAATTATTAGCATTGGGAAAATGGGTAAGGGGAAAACAAAAACTCTTAATTATCCAGGCAATTTTTTTTTAAATGGGGAGAAATTTTCCCAAGTTTAAATACCTTTTAATAAAAATAAAAAACAAAAACAAACCAACAAAAAACCAAAATCCACTAAAGTCCCAGGGCCAACTAAATCTCACATTCCTGGGTCTGAGACTGGAATGCATTTCCCAGGCAGAGCCCGAGTTGATTCTTATGCAGACAGCCCGTGAAAGCGGCCCTCTCCACCACACACCAGGAATAGCCTAACTTCCCATTAAAATCTCCTAGACTTAACCATTCAAATATTCAGAACCACTGAACATAAGTACTATTCTTCTTTTCACAAATGATAAATCTGACTCACTTATGTGACACAAATGATAAATTTAAATACTAACAGATTGAGTATCCTAGCTCAGGGCCCATAAAAGGCAGCGCTGGGATTCGAACCAACACCCAACCTGTATCTTCTTCAGTCCCTTCATACAGCCATTCTTCTCAGCATGGTTTCCATCTTTACAAACTAAAACCTCTGGTCTAGTCATTTAAAGGAGGGAGTCTTATTGCCAGTGATCTGGAGGACCCACCTCTTCAACATATAAGGGTTCAACTCTGCTCTAGTTTCTGACTCCCCCTTTGCACCCTTTCTCCAACTGGGTGAATGGTGACCCGGGAGAACAGTGGGGGCATCCTGACTAGAGTTCCTGTACATGTGAATTGTGGTCGCTCTTTCTTAGACTTCTTCCCCCCACACTCCCACCACCCCACCCTGAAGTCCATAGCAATCCTATTGACACTGAATTACACAGTCATTATTATACTTCTGCCCTATACATTTTAAAACCTTAAGTACCCATCATTCTCTCACATTTTCCCACAATGCCTGAGACTATCTCTGGAGAACACCAAAATGAGATACTGGTTACCTTAGAAGGCAATAAACATTCTGACATCCAAATTACCCAGGGGAGGGTATGGGAAACAGGATGCCATTCTCAATGAAATCCCGTCCTCTCTCAGCTCCTCATTTAAAGTTATTTGAGCTTAATGCCTATTTGAACTTACCAGAGCTCCAAGTCTGAAGGATAAGCTGTGTTGGGAGTCCCTGCTCCTCACCTAGATATACAGAACACACACCATGCACACATACCCATCAAACAAAACATAACTGGGACACATCCCTGATTCCATGGAACTCCATTTACTTCAAGTGAATAAAGAAGCAAGCCCAGCACGGGCAGAAGAAACCCAGGGATCACAGACAAGGAAACTGTGTCATATGTAGTTGCTCTTGCAATTGGAATTTGATCAATTTTCCTGATGAAAATCCAGTTGCTTATACTTGAAGGACATCTGAGGCATGTGGTGATCGTGCTGTAAATCTGAATCGCTGTTACTCTTGGAAACCAAAGAATTTCTCCATAAACAGGAAAGACTCAACGCCATCATTTTGTTTTCTTCACCATTGCTTTAATGCATTTTAAAAAGTTATCTACATTAACTGGGAACAAAGAAATAAAAATAGACATTTCTTTGTTTTTTCATAAATAACTAATCTCCATATTTGATAAAAATCTTAAAACCATTATTTTACCTTCCCACAAATATAATACAAAAAATTTCCAAAGTAATAAGGTCAACAAGTTAAGGATCTTGAGACTAACATAACCACATACAATTGCTGTTGTACTGACTCCCAGGCACAAAACCAAACCAAACGTCTCTTCAAGATACTCTGGGTTTCCTTTTGCAAGTGTTATGGGTTTAGAATTATAATCATTTGCCAGTCATAATCTATAGATTCAAGCTGATTGTCTACAAATAAACTATTGCTGGTTCTGAGTTGTGAGTGCTGGATTTGGCATGACAGCAATGATACTTACTGCATGGGGTAGGCACTATGTATGTTCACAAATCATGCACAGCACTGAATGCCCTGGACTCCAGCTACTGACTTGGTATGTGCCTCATTTGGCTCAGTAATAAATTCATCTGCACCAACCCGTATCAAAAGTCACTAAATCTCTCTCTCATATATATATATATATATAATATATATTATGTATATACACACCCACAAAACATACATACTATACATAGTTTGTAACAACATGAATTAATATTCTCTTAAAATGATGTACCACAGACAGACATTTTCCTGGATGAAATAAATCCTGCAGTTGTCACCATGCTACCAGAAGGCTCTGAGAGTCTGAAACAGGTCACTTACATCCTCCCTACCCTTCACCCTTCTTTAATGTCTTGTTAGGTTTTCTTTCTGAGCTGTCCTCCCCAAGCCAAGCTATTTCTTTCCTAGGATCATTTGATTGGACTTTGGAGACAAGAAAGGGCACAGAGAGGCAGCAGGCAATTCTTAGCCACTGTACCTCACACCTGCCTAGATTTGTGATGTGCTCAGTCCTGTTTGCCAGTGTTAGAAAGCACTTATTCAAAGCTTTGTCCCTCCTACCCCCCTTGGTCTTTCTGTAGAGCACAAAAGTGAAAGAAGCTTCCTTAGCAGGGGTAGCAGTTCATTAAAATATACAACTGTGCTTCCTAGCTCTGGGGTTCCCATTCTACACTCGCCAGTGCAGGTCACGGATGCTGTTATTAAGGTTCAGTGTATGATCCATGATGTTTTCTCCTGGCAGCCGGTGTCAAGATTAGTGCTGCCCTAGCCCAGGAGGGAACAGCCTAATGAATACCAACTTAGAACCAGTGCCATCGGCACATTATTTAAGCTTGTACATGCGCACAAGTGCACGCAAGACAAGCACACACATGCACACACACACACACACACAGGCCCTGGTCACTGGTAATGATCACAGGAAACAATGACAAAAGGATTGCAAGAATAAACCAATAAGGCACCAAGAAAAATGATTTTCATCCAACTCAGACAACTTCAAAATGTGTGTGTGGGGGGATAATATAAAGTTAAATTTAAAAAAGCCAAACCTTCCTAATATCTGGCCATCGGAGTCGTTGAGGTCCTGTTTCTTTAGACTATCTAAACCCCCACCCTCTAATCTGCGAGGCATCTCAGTGCTTAAAGAGGTGAGTGGGGTGGCCCAAGGCATGTGCCTTGGCCCTGAAACCACCCCCAAGTCCTCTCAGCTACACAAAGCTGGCAGTGCAGAAGTAGCTGATCTACCTCACGGCTTTTCATTTCATTTGTTATTGGTTCAGATATGCAAAGTGGAGGAAAAGGTGTGGTGGAAAGAGGGAGTAGCCGTCCGAAGGCAGCTTCCCTCTTCCCTCTTCCCTCCCCTAGGGCTGGCCAGAAACTCCTGTTGGCTTCAGTGAAGCAGGTGTGCTTTCTTTGTCTAAGAGTATAGGAGAGGAAAGGGGGAACATAGAGAACAGAAAACCAGAGGCTTCTGAAGCTCCTTCTAAAGGCATTCCCTACACAGCCCCCCACTCTGGCATTGCATCCTTTAAACTGCCCTATTTTCAGAGGGTATTAATCATTATCTCTTTAGAGCTTTGGCATGTTGCTTGGATGGAAAAAAAATTATTCTAAAAACTGAATTAAATCACTCTCATCCGCTTCATCCCACAACTTTTAGATACACTGCACTGTCTTTTCCAGATTCTGCCACAATTTTCAATTTTCTTTGTGAGGAGGGAACAATCCAAACTATGCACAGCTGACTGGGGGTGGGGGGTGGGAAGGGGGGGGCCTGCCGCAAGATTCTGGGAAGACTATGCTAAACAAGGCAAGAGGTCAAGGTGATAAGAAAGGACCTCATTTGAAAAACAGAAGTGGTGCTGAGCCAGGGAGTGTATTGAGGTTCTCGGAAGAGGCTTCAGGAGGAAGACGTTCACAGAGCTCTGCTTCTAGGTGTACAAGGTCTTGTGGAAGCCACTGAAATTCTGATTCAAGTGAGCAAGGGCAGGGTATTTTACAGATGTGAACACCCCCTGAGTGCTTAAATTCCCAATGGGAACTACAAATTTCTCCACTCAGTACCTGGGGACATAAAACAGTCTCAGGCTTAACTCCCTCTAGCCTCCCACCCCCAGCTGCTGCAAATGACAATCAGGATGCCTAGGCTCCAGCTGGTTTTCTAGGAAAGCTTTGTGAAGTTCCAGTTGCTTGGCCATTTCAGCTCCCTAAATTCAGTTCCCACTCTGCGTTGGTCACTGGTATTTGCTGGCTGACGCTCTGCCATTTCTTTCCCAGTAAAGGCCCCACACTCTTAGTGAATGAATAGTTAAACAGATTAGGAAAGCAAACAGACTCTTCTAATGGCAGAGAGACTGTGAGGGAAGTGTCGATCACTATACAGGCTCTCTCAAAAGAGGAGGAAAAGAAACCAGGTCCCTCCTGCAGTAGCTTTACACTGCCCCCATATTACAAAGCTTAAGTTAGGAGTCTTGTTTGTTTTCAGGCTACTAGGCTACATGCTGTAGCTACTTTGGGGGAATATCTGGCTTTAAACTTGCACTGAGTTCAGGGACACTTGTTTCCCCCCCCTCCCCCCCCCCTCCCAATGTTTGTTCCCAGGTAACTAGCCTCCCTCCCCCAGTCTCGGCACTTCATTGGTGGGTGGGTGTGGTTCCTAATCACCGCTCTCCACCAGGAGGAATAAGAAAAGCAAGAAGGACTGTTTAACATGATAAAGGAGGTAGGCTGGGAGCAGCCGATGCGAAGCAATGGGAATTTACTTTAATTACTGGAAGCATATCCGTTTTTTCTCCTTTAATCTAAAAGAGAGCCCCCTTTAGCAAGGATTCCTAACTACTTCCAGAAAAAGGGAGTGGATTTACTTTTACTGAAATTTGTAGCACAAGATTTTTTATTCTCAAAAAAAAAAAAAAAAAAAAAAAAAGAGGAATCACTGGAGCTTATTAAGAACCACCCACTCCCTCTCTGGCAGAAAGCTCACCAGCTCAGAATTCACATTCAACCAATCCCCACCCCTCAGGCTGTATGGCAAATGTTTATGTGTCCGCTCTAGAATGCCACCTCTAACTTATTCAAAACACGAAGGACCGCCAGCTCTATTAGGGATGAGAATGACCGCGGCAGCTCGGCCGAAAAGAGCCAGGTTAAGGAGGCTCACAAACTTCCCAACTCGCTAACCTTGTCATTTGGGGGATGGTCCTAACCACATCATAGTCTACTCTCGCAGAGGACTTGAGGGGGCTGGACACAGAAGTAGCAGATGGCCTCTAGCCTCTAAGTGTCCTGGACATTTTAAGCACTGTAGGAAGAAACTACCTAAAAGAAAACACTCCACATCTTCCCAGTCACAGCAGCCTTTCACTGTTCACATTTATAAAAAAAGAAAAAAATTAACAAAAACAAAAAAAGACACGTATAGGAAATATATTTTCCTAATTTAGACCACAGTCCAAAAAAACCTGAACCAACAGTAACCTCATTACAATGCCAGTTTGAGGATTATGAAGCCCCCAAAGCAAAGGTAAATTTTGTTGCCAAAATGCAACAAATTTAAAACTTAAAATACATATAAATTAAAAACAAGGTACTTCTAAAGAAAGCAGTAAGAAATGCAAACTAGAATACACTTAACCCACTGCACTGCGAGCCGAGTCTCCTGGTAGAAGACTGGGGACAGGTAATTTCTTGAAACTGCCCCCCTTTTTCCTCTCCGAACTGCTCAGGGAGGGGGCATCAGCACCAAGAAGGTAAACGGAAGTGGCCTTCACAAAGCTACCAAGCGAAACAACTCCCTCCAACTTCCAGCACTGTCCCTGGGCCTCAGCCTCTAGGCCTTCCTATACGTGCGACAGGGACACTTGCTTGTGGTATGCGGCGGCGGGGCCAGGAGGCCCGGTCCTGCCGGTGAGTGCGGCGCTGGCCTCTGCATAGTCTCCTGCGGCCATAGCGCCACCGCTCTTGTGGCCCCGCCGAGAGCTGCAGCAGCAGCGGCTGGTGAAGCGCCGCCAAGACTCCAGGGTCTTGCCGGACCAGATCCAGACTCCCGACGTGATGCCCACCACCAGGCACATGAAGTACTTGAGCATGAGCACCCAGTACTCGGGTTTGGCGCGTGGCTGGCCGGCGTCCGGTCCCGGACACGCGCAGGTGAGGGCAGCCTCCCAGCTCTCCCGGTAGTGCTGCTCATACAGATAGCAGGCCACCACGATGCTGGCTGGCACCGTGTAGAGCAGGGTGAAGATGCCGATGCGAATCATGAGCTTCTCCAGCTTGTCCGTCTTAGTGCCACCCTGCTTGATGACACTCCGGATGCGGAAAAGTGACACGAAGCCTGCCAGAAGGAAGAGCGTGCCCACCAACAGGTACAGCACCAGTGGGCCCAAGACAAAGCCTCGTAGCGAGTTAAGGTTTTGGTTGCCCACATAGCAGATGCCAGCCACTGGGTCCCCGTCCACAGAGCTCAGTGCCAGCGCCGTGATGGACTTGACACTGGGGATGAGCCAGGCAGCAAGGTGGAAGTACTGTGCATAGCCTGCGATGGCTTCATTGCCCCACTTCATGCCAGCCGCCAAGAACCAGGTGAGAGACAGGATGACCCACCAGATGGAGCTGGCCATGCCAAAGAAGTAGACTAAGAGGAAGACAACCGTGCACAGCGCAGGACCAGTAGTCTCATAGTGAATGTGGCTGTGCTCACGGCTGCAGGCGACGCTGGCGTGGCCCACGACCAGGCGCACCAAGAATCCCAGTGACACGCACAGGTAGCACGCAGACAGGAAGATGATGGGGCGCTCAGGGTAGCGGAATCGTTCCATGTCAATGAGGAAGGTGGCAACGGTGGTGGACGTGGAGATGAAGCACAGCACAGACCACAGGCCAATCCAGAAGGTGGCGAACGTGCGCTCATCCGGGCTGAAGGACGGCTGGTAGCAGGGCACCGCGCAGTTGGGCACTTGGCCGGTGCGCACCTTGTTGTAGAGTGGGTGTGACTCCTTCAGGATGGGCACGAAGGGCTCGCGGCACGTGCACACAGATGGGCCTCCCGAGGGGCACTCGCCCCTGGAAGATGGCGCCCCTGGTGGTCCTGGGAATGTAGGTTTGGCCGGGAAGGACTTAGGGGACGGGGTGGTGGCTTCGCTTCGGTTATAATCCATGCACAGCACCTCGGCGTCGCCCCCCAGCACAGGGAGGCGGTCGCAGCTCATGCGCTCGGGCCAGGCGAAGCCGTACTGGCGCATGAGCGGCGAGCAGCCGGCCTTGGCGCGCTCGCACACGGAGCGGCACGGTGGTAGCGGCTTGTGGTAGTCAGGCAAGCAGATGGGCGTGTACATGGAGCACAGGAAGAAGCGCAAGTCCGGTGAGCAGTGGATCTCCACCAGCGGCCAGAATTGGTGCACCTCCAGGCCTGCCTCGTCCTGCGTGTCATGGTTGAACTGGTTGGGCATGTGCGTCAGGTTGTAGCCGATGCCGCGGCACATGGGCACCGTGATTTCCTGGCACACCGGGGCCTTGGAGGCGGCCGCTGCCCGGCCCACCAGCTGCGCTAGCAACAGCAGCAGAAGCGAGGGCGGCGAGGACGGGTCGGGCCGAGCCATCGTCCCCTTCTTCCCTTTGCCTCTCGCTGCCCGAGAGGGTCTGCGCTGACCGACGAATCTGCGGTCCGGGCTTCCCTCTACGGAGTCTTGAGTGTGACGCCCGGGCTGGCAACCTGTTGGTTTCTTTTTCTCTTAAAGAAATCCGTCCAAAGATAAACTGTTTCGGGAAGGCGCTGCCTCCGCCGGCAGCGCTCAGCTCCACGCCAGATAGGGCTGGAGGGACGATTAGGGCTCCGACTCCAAGGACAGAACTCTTAAAAGAGAAGGTAGGGGAAAAGAAAAATCGCAACTACTCCTCTTAGAGGAGCGCCAACCGCTTGGTCTCCGTAAACCGGCTCCAATCTCTAGATTAACTCCTTTCCTCCCCTCCTTCTGGAACCAAACTTCAGACGCCCCCACCCCCTCCACCCCACTGCCCGCGCCCGCCTCTCTTTTCTGGCCCGGCCCTGCAGGCTGTGCCTGGGGCCAAGAGGGCTCAGTCCCGGAGAAAGGGGCAGAGAAACCGGGTGAACTGGGAAGACGCGGGCTCTCACCTCTGGGGATCTTACTGGGCGGCAGATGTCTGCAACCAGCCGGGCTCCTCCGTCCCGCGACTCCGAATCCAGCCAGAGCTGGGAAAGTTTAACGACAAGCTAGGTACCTGTGGCGGCGACACATGGCAGCAGGTGGAGGGCGTTTCAGAGAGCAGGGCGCCCCTCAACCACGAGTGGCGCGGGCCGGTCAGTCGCCTTCTCTTCCTTCGGGGCCCCCTGCATGATTCGGGCAGAGCAAGGCAGGGACAGGCCGTGCCTTCCACCGGCGTCCCGGGGCCGGGACGAAGGGCAAGGGCGCCGGGAAGCACTTGGGCTGGAAGGCGGAGGGGTGCGGCAGCCGGAGGAGACCCTGCCACCTCACAGCACAGCGAGCAGCCAGCGCTGGCCGGGCGGGGACTGCATGGTCCGCGCCCGCCGCCGCGTCCCGCCAGCCGCTCACCGCCTCCCCTGCAGGGGGCTCCGCGCTCCAGCGGACTCCGGGGGGCGGTGGCGGCGCTCTCGGGACGCGCCCCGCTCGGCTCCTCCCCCGCGCTCTCGCACTCTTTCGCCCACCTCCAGGGAGCTCCGAGCCGTGCGCGACGGCAGAAGAGAAGTCTCGGCCGCAGGCTGACTGCCCTCTCCCGCCCCGCCCGGGTCACCTGCCTCTAATGCCCGCCGGGAGGCCCCGCCCCGGGACCGCCCCCTCCCGCCCTCTCCCGCCCTGCCCGGAGCTGGGCCGTCCCACGGCTCGCTCTCCGGGTCCCCGCCCACCGCCCTGCGGTCCGGGCCTCTCCGCGAGCGCCCCGCGGCCCCGCCCGGAGCGGGCAGCGGAAGAGCGTCGACCAATAGTGGACCGAGAAGTTATGAGGGCGGGGTCAATGCTAATCAGGCCTCCCAGAGAACCCGGGCGGGAAACCTGGCCCCAAGTCCTTCTGGAGTTCTCTGCGGTGGTTCACCAGGACGGTACTCACTTTCCTGAAGGTTCTGCTCTCTGAACGCCTGCTTCCAGGGCCTCCACCAGGCCACCTCTCTCCAGCTAAGTGCCCTTATCGAGGTCCGGCGCTTGTTTAAAGGGATGAGCGGTCAATTCACTTGTGCCACCTGTCCCCCTTCTGAGCTGCCTTGTGCTAGGTGACAGACGTGCTAGTACTTAATGAGCAACCTCGTGTTAGTTAATCGTTTACACCTTGATACGCAATCTGGATACCGTAGGATTCTGAAGCCAGAGCGCCGCAGAACTTGACCTACACAGTTGAGCTAACAAGACAGCAGAGACGTTGACAAACTTGTGCCCCTCCCTGTGCGAGCTCCTGGCACACAGTAGGCGCTCTGATGGCAAACTTGGAATCTGAAACCAGAAGCTGAGCAGCAGAGTTCACAGTCTTTACCATTCTCTCCTCCCTTAGAAATATCGACATTTCCCAGGCTTTTGCCCTTTCGTCTATACAACAAAATCTTGCCGTTGTGATAATAGAATGAATTTCTTTCCAGTTTTGGAAGTCTCTAGAGTCTTTAGTCCTTAGCAGTTGCGGTTTATAATCCCTGGCAGATCCGAAGTCGCCCACAGAGAAAAACTCTTAGACTGACACAGTGTACAACTCAGGGTGCTTGGGTCCCCCAGGGTTGGCTGCTGTGCACTCTGGCGAGGTTGGGACTTGGTAAGGGGGACGCACTGGGGCAGTGGGAACCGGGGAAATACCTGTTGGGCACAGTTAACGCAGGGACACACAGTGGCGCTCTCCTGATGGATTAGTATACTCCAAGTTTTAAATGTCCTACAAATGCCTCTTTTCTACAAGTTCTAATTAGGTTGGGAGACTGAGGTTTTTAGCATACTTGAAATTCATTCACGCGCTTATGAAGAGGCTTTAAATTGTATGCTGCTCCTTCGCTCCTTCCGTTGGGGGAGGGGAGTGGGAGGGATTCGAAGTAGGGGAAGGCATTGGGGTGGGTACTTGAAGAACTCTGAACTGGCCTCACTGGGTGTTATTGTCTTCTGTGCAGGCTGAAAAGCCATCTTCAGTTTATCAACAAGCCTTCGTGGAAGCTAATGAAACTCTGTATTTAATCTCAGACATCACAGCTATTAATAAATGTTTAAAATGTGCACTGCTTCATTCCCTAGAATTCTATAAGGTATTCATATTTAATCTCTTGTTTTTAGTAACCGCTTGACCCTCAGGGTCTAGAAACATCCTGGACTAAGAGTTAGTGGAGGGTGAAAAACTGTAGCACACCAGTCAGATAAAGAAGGAACCCGCAGTGGAAAGTATGTCCAGCCTGCCAACATGCCAAGGGAGGCTGCTACCCTTTATGTGCTGTGTATGTTGCTGCGATGGACAAGTGTTGGCTAATAATAAAAATTATTTGGAAGTTGGAGAATGTAAACCACTCACACTGGAATTCAGCGAGAATACTTGGGTTGTTTCACGTGGCTCTGCCTAGAACGGTACTGTCTATTGCTCTGTCAACCTTCCTTTTTAACAACGAAAATCTGACTTTTGCTTGGAGATCCCAGGTAATAACAGTAATGAAAGGGAACGTTCGGTGGGTGTGGTGGCTCGGACCTCTAAATCCAACACTCTGTAGGGGGGCAGCAGGAGGATTCTGAGTTTGAGGACAACCTGGGCTACACTGGCAGTCTATGTCTCAAAACAAAAACCAAAAAAAGTGACAAAATAAACATGTATAGTTTTTTGTATTATTTTAGCTTTTCCTTTCCCACATATATTACTTTAAAGATTATCTTAAGATATGCTGATTGGGGCTGGAGCTCAGCAGTTAAGAGCATTGTGTGCTCTTGCAGAGGACCTGGGCTCAGTTCCCAGCACCCACACAGTGGCTCACAACCATTTGTAACTACAGTTCCAGGAGAGCTAGTGCTCTCTTCCATCTTCCATGGTCACCATGCATGTTCATGGTGCACATGCATACATGCAGGCAAAACGCTCATACACATAAAGATAAATAAATCTAAAAACAGAATAGTTTTTTTAAATTATGCTGAGTATTTTAATATACCTCAGGCAGTTTGATAAATAATTAATATATTTTACCTTACTTAATGCTTGGAATAATCATATACAGAAGCTGTCACCAAAACAACTCATTGGGTTTATTGGGTGTAGCTAGTCCACAAAAAGGGTAGCAATCAATATTTTTATTATACTTCATGATTATTACAGTTAATAACAATATGATACAATTGTAAATTGCTAAGAATAGATTGTAAGTGTTCTTAGCACAAACACACACAAAATAAGTATATGGGCTAGAAATGTAGCTCACTTAGTTACCCATCAAACACAAAGACCCAGGTTCAATCCCCAATACTACCTAAAATTAGGCATGGTCCTCATGCCTATAACCCTAGCACTCAAGAGGTGAAGCCTGGAAGATCACAAGTTCAAAGGTATCCATCCTTGCCTGCTATCAAGTTGGAGGCAAACCTGGGCTTTATGAAACTTTGTTTTTGTTTTTTTTTTTAAAAAAGAAAGAAAAGAGAAGAAAAGAAAGAAAAAGAAAAAGCATGTATTACATATGCTAAAATAGTTTGAACTAACCATCCCAGGATGCTATATCTAAGCAGTATGTTGTAATCATAAACATATACAATTTGTACTTAATCAATTTAAAGAGTTCTTTAGGGCCTAGAGAGATAGCTCAATTGTAACGTTCCTACCCTCAAGCATAAGGGCTTGTGTTTAGAACTCCAACACACCCACTAAAAGCTGCAAGTAAATTCCTTAGGCGTGTTGGCCTGCCCGTCTAGTTGTGTCAGTGAGCTCCAGTTTCAGTAAGAGACCCTGTCTCAAAAAGGAACGACACTCACCACGGGCTTCTAGCCTCAAATGTGCATGCACACAGAGTATAAACCCACACACGTGAACATGTACACACAATAAATACATAGATTTAATTTAAAATTAATTTTTAAAATTACTTTTAAAATGCAAATTTTTCTTCTGAGATTTATTTATTTATTTATTTATTTATTTATTTATTTATTTTGGTTTTTCGAGACAGGGTTTCTCTGTGTAGCCCTGGCTGTCCTGGAGCTCACTCTGTAGACCAGGCTGGCCTCGAACTCAGAAATCCGCCCGTCTCTGCCTCCCAAGTGCTGGGATTAAAGGGAGTTTCAATTTATTATACAAAAAATTAGAACACATTTTTTTTTAATAGATCCAATTGTGTATATTGGCAGTGGGGGTTAAACTTAGGGTCTTGTACATCCGAGGCAAGTTCTCAGTCACTGAGATAGATGCTCTATTAACCCATACAAATATTTTAAATGTAATTTTATTTGTTATTAGTACTGTAGGTGTGTGTCCTGGTGCAAGTGTGCCATGATGCTGCGTGCCAGTCAGAGCTCTCTTTCCACGCTGGTTAGCAGGGTTAGACTCAGACCTGTGGGTTTGCATGGTAAGCTCTTCTGCCTGCTGAGCCATCTCATCAGATAAAACTGTTTTAATTTTGTTGTTATTGTTTTGGTTGTTGTTGAGTTTTTGTTTGTTTGTTTGGGTTTTTTGTGTTTTCTTTGTTTGGTTTTTGTTTTGAGACAGAGTTTTACTGTATAGCCCTGGCTAGCCTAGAACTTTGCTTTATAGACCAGGCTAGCTTCAAAATCAGAGATTCGATTGACTCTTGGAGTCCTGTGATTAACGGTGTGCACCACCATACTCAGCTCCAAAGACAAAATTTTGAAGCACCTGGGACTCTACCAACTGTCATCTATTGCTTTGCTCATATGTCCCTCTATAAAGCCACTTAAATAAATATCACTCTTCTGATAACTGCTGTACTAAAAATATCTCTGCAGAGCCAAATTCATAAAATTCAACTTAGACTGCTGTTCAAGATATGTTTATTCATTGTTGAAAATTTGGAGGATAATGCTATTTATCTCATTTTTTAATGTCTGGCATTCTATAAGTCTTAAAAAGGATTTTTATATTTCATCATGGGGGATAGTTATAAATCTGTAATCATAGCATCTATGATTTCTACAATGCATTATTCCCAATGCTATAGGAATGGGTGAACAGATAGCCTTTGTGTACTTTTTAGGCTATTTATTTATTTTTGAGGCAGGGTTTTACTATGAAATCTAACCTTGACCTCTGGAGGAACTTCCTGTCTCCATCTCTTGACTGCTGAGGTTACAGACCCATGCCACCATGCCAGGTTCTCGTATACTAGTTAAAATATTGATAACTAAGGTGAGAATGGTGTCACTTCCACAGCCTTGCAGACTAAATGAATGAGTGCTAGCTGAGGAGAACTTACCACATGAGCTTGACCCCACTTCGTCAATACAGTATGAGTCCAAACGTTGGCTTTGCTCTTAGTGACCTCGCGCACCCAGGCAGCTCATTGCCAACGCCAGGCCCTTCTTTATGTCTGCAGGAGAGAGTTTGAAATACTTATAGAGTTGGCATCAAAAGTTTATTGAATTTGTAGGTTTGTAAAGGGATGGGACACATGTTTAGTACTCGAAGAGACTACAGGGACTTTGGTGACTGTTACTAAGCTTTTTCTAAGGCCCATTCCACCGTCCTGTTTCCCCAGTTTTCTGGGGGTGTTTATATTCTAGTCCTGAGCACAATCCAGCTGTCACCAGTTATCTTTGGCACTTAGAGCTAAATCGAATGCCAAAGCAGGGCTTGTCACTTGCCCTGACCAAAGGGCGTACAGCTGGCAACCTCAATCACCTGTGCGCACAGGTGCTGGCACCGCAAGCCATCCACAGCCAGCCTGACTCTCACGGGTATTTCCAGACAAGCTCCTCACGTGTCCACAGCATCTCTGCTCCGGCCTCTCCCCACCGTATCCGCTGCTCTC